GGGGCACTAATCCAGTTTCTGTTTGGGTTTTTTGTGGATTAACCAGCAAATTTGCTCCCGTGTGAGAATGTCCCTACAGAGGTGTTCTCTCAGATAAAAACATACGGTAAGTATTTTGTTATTTGTGGTTTTCCCACATTCACGGGGGTCCTGTGCCCCTAACCCCAGCAAATGTGGAGGAACCACTGTAGTTCAAACAAGGAATCCTAGAGTTGGAAGGTACCCTGGGGGTCATCCAGTCCAACTCCCTTCTGCCATATAGGAATATACAGAACTGGGAGCGACCCCAAGGGCCATCCATTCCAGGGTAACATGTTGATCAGTGATAAGATAAGCTTTAAACCAATTCAATTTTGTTGTTTTAAAGACCTTGTCTGAATGGTAGGTAATCCTTCACACCAAATTATAATTGGTAAAAGGCCAATGCAATTTTAGGCTGCATCAATAGAAGTACAGTGTCCCCGTACTTACCAGCCCAGGTGGAAGGTCAGCGCCGCCACCGCCGCCGCCGCCGCAAATGTGAGTTTTGGCCGCCATGCGGCCGCACGCATCTCGCCTGCCAAATCATAATGGTGGTTGCGACATGCGCGAGCCGGCTGCACAGCGGTAGTGGTGGCGGCAGCGCACGCGTGGGGTGTGTGTGCGGCAGGGGGGTGCGTGCGCGCACATGCGCGTGCATCCATTCATTCCCCCCCCGCTGCCCAGCGGCGGAGAGGACTTTGCAGGACCGGCCCCCTGCTCAAAAAGGTTGCCTACCCCTGGTCTAGATCAAGGGAAGTAATAGTGCCACTCTATCCTGCTTTAGTCAGGCCCCACCTGGAATCCTGTGTCCAGTTCTGGGCACCACAATTCAAAAAGGATGTGGAGAAACTGGAGCGTGTCCAAAGGAGGGCAACTAAAATGGTGAAGGGTCTGGAAACCAAGCCCTATGAGGAACGACTTAGGGAGCTGGGGATGTTTAGCCTGAAGAAGAGATGGCTAAGAGGTGATATGATAGCCCTGTTTAAGTATTTGAAGGGATGTCATATCGAGGAGGGAACAAGCTTGTTGTCTGCTGCTCCAGAGACTAGGACCCAAAACAATGGATGCAAGCTACAGGAAAAGAGATTTCACACAAACATTAGGAGGAACTTCCTGACAGTAAGGGTTGTTCAACAGTGGAAGACATTCCCTCGGAGGATGATGGAGTCTCCTTCTTTGGAGGTCTTTAAACAGAGGCTGGATGGCCACCTGTTGGGGATGCTTTGATTTTGAGTTCCTGCATGGCAGGGGGTTGGACTGGATGGCCCTTGGGGTCTCTTCCAACTCTATGATTCTATGATTCTAGACACCAGCATATGTTAACTTCAGTAATGAAGGCTTGGGAGAGAGTTCAACTTTTGAAAATGGAAAGAGGGGAAAACCAATCCAAACACAGTGAAACCACCAAATAATGGTATAGTAGGGAGAGGAGTATGATCATATGGAGAATTCTAGAGGACCAGCTTTGGACCTCAAGAGAGATGGATCAAGTCCAAGGGCCTGAGGTTTTAATTGACTTTTATTATTTTGCCCATAGTTTTACTTAGATTGTACGCCTCTGGCAGGTTTTATTCTGTTTTATCCTTGACTGTCTTTTGTACAGCGCTGTGTACACCGACAGCGCTCTAGAAATAAATTCATCATCATCATCATCATCATCATCATCATCCCACCCCATTTCATGGATTGGATAAAGGAATCACAGCCTTACCATTGATTTAACACCAATTGCCCTTATTGACTTCCTAAATTAGATGGTAAAAATCAAGAAAATATAGATTTGAGAAGGTGAGGAGAGAGAAAAGAGAGATGTTGTGTGTGTGTGTCAAATAATCTGGTTTTGTGTTGTTTTTTCAGATCAGGTTCAGGCACTGAAACCACATTCTTGAGCTACAGGTATGCTCTGAGACATGCTGCCTCCAACATTTATTTCTGCCTTCCTATTCTTCTACGTCTTGCTCTGGTTGACAAATCTCAAGATTTCAGTGTAAAACAAAGTAAACTCCACTGGCCCAAATTCTGTCCACTGCTGACAAATTGGGGATGGGGAGGAGGAGACAGAAACTCTTGTTCATGTACTCTTTATTTTTAAAGAAACTGAATTTATTTTAAAAGCAAATTACCTGAACAGAGAGGAAACCTGGGCCAAAATATAACAAAAAGAATTTCAACAGGGATAAATGTAAGGTTCAACATGTAGGCAGGAAACATGAAATGCATAACTATAGTATTAGTGACACCTCGCTTGAAAGTACATGTGTGAAAAAGAACTAGCAGTTTAAGCAGACACAAAGTAAACATGAAGCCAACAGTGTGATGCAGCAGCCAGGAAAGCCAATGTTATTCTGAGCTGTATGAAAAGGAGTATAGTGCTCAGATCAAGGTAAGTAGTAGCGTAGCTGTACTTTTGGGCCGATGTCACCCGGAAGACCGTGTCCACTTCTGGGCACCACAATTCAAGAACGTGCCAAGAGGAGGGCAACCAAAGTAACCAAAGATCTGTAAACCAAATCTTATGAGGAACAGCTTAGGAAGCTGGGTATGTTTAGCCTGGAGAAGACTGAGAAGAGAAATGATAGCCACCTTTAAACATTTAAAGTAATGTAATTGTAGAAGACGGAGCAAGCTTGTGTTCTGCTGCTCCAGAGACTAGGACACAAATCAGGATTCAAATAATAAGAAAGAAGATCCCATCTAAATATTAGGAAGAACTTGTTGACAGTAATTGCTATTTGCCAGTGGAAGAGACTGCCTTGGAGGCTGGCGTTCTCTCCATCTTTGGAAGTCTTTAAACAGATTGGATGGCCATTTCTTTGGGACCGCTTTAATTGTGTATTTCTGAATGGCCCTTGAAGTCACTTCTGAAACTATGCATGTTCCCACATTGCAGGGGAGTTACAAAACACATCATCAACTGAAGAGTCAGGATCTTAGCAGAGGCTGGTGGAAAACACAGCTCTTCTTTGCCATTTAATCATCTTCATGCAATCATGTTCTGGAGCTGAGATGGAGAGAAAGGGCTCTCGAATACGTGCTTGATTACAAGGACAAAAGAGAAAGCAGAACAAGAGACTTTGTACTATCACAAAATAGTTGCTTCCAAATCTTAACAAGAAAATGACTACCTTATTTTCTGGCGTATAAGACTACTTTTTAACCTGCAAAATCTGGGGTTAAAGGGGGGGGGCGTCTTATACACTGGGTATAAGGAGGTTCATGATAGGTTTGCCTTAGTGTCATCATCAGTTGAAAATTACTTGAAGGTGCACAGCAACAACAACAAGAGTTTTGGAAGTCATACTCTTCCCAAACTCTATATTTTAACTGGAAAAGTGGGGGGTCGTCTTATACGCCCAGTCGTCTTATACGCCGGAAAATACGGTACTATTGTACAAATAGGTTTCTGGTAATCTGGCCTTTATTCAAATGTAAAAGATTCTTAGGTTTTTGTGGGTTTTTCGGGCTGTGAGGCCATGTTCTAGAATATATTCCTGACGTTTCACCTGCATCAGAGAAAGATGACAGCCACAAATGCAGGTAAAACGTCAGGAATATACTATTCTAGAACATGGCCTCACAGCCCGAAAAACCCACAAAAATCGATGGATGCCGACCGTGAAAATCTTCATGTTCATTGAGTTGATGACTCCCAGTTAAGGATCTGACCCTTCAAAGGTAAAATTTCCCCAATTCTAGCAGCATAACCCTACATATAAAGTAGAGCTCATTTGAATGTTGGACTACAACTATGGGAGACCGGAATTCAAATTCCTACTTAGTAATGGAAATCCACTGCATGGTCTTGGGCAAATATCCCAGCCTAAGAGCAAGGCAATGGCAAATGTCCTCTGAATAAATATTGCAAGAACCTGTGACAGGATTGCCAAAAGTTGAAGTCAGCTTGAAGGTACATCTAGAAGCTATGCAATTGTAGCACAAAAGACTATATAGGATGAGTTTCCCTGATCCTGAATTCTGAAATTTTCCAAAATCTAAAATGGTCCCCATGGGTGGCTGAGATAGCGCTGCTTTTGCTTTCTGATGGTTCAATATACACAACCTCTGTTTAATACACAAAATTACAAAACAAAACTTCGGGCTATGTGTAAAAGATGCATATGAAACAGAATATCATTTTTAGATGTTGGTCCCATCTCCAAGTTATCTCATTTTATGTAAATATTCCAAAATTCAAAACACTTCTGGTATTAGGCATTTTGGATAAGGGAGACACAACCTGGACTTTTATATAATTCATTAGACCTGGGGGTGGGATTGGGACCATCCAGCCCTCTAAATATTGTTGAATTACAATCCCCAGCATTCTTCACCATTAGTTATGATGTCTTGGGCTTCTGGGAGCTGTTCTTTAATGTCTGGAGGGCCGCACAATTCCCACTTCTGTGTTACAACTACTCAGAGATAAGTCCCATCAGGTCATGGGACTGGATCCAGAATAGACTCTGGTGAATAGTTGGGTTCTACAGGGGTCTGTCTGAGACCCGTTCCTATTCAACATTTTTATTAATGACTTGGATGATGGAATAGAGGGCATGCTTATCATTTGCAGACAACACCCAATTAGGAGGGGTTGCTAGTGTGGCATAGTGGTTTGAGTTCTGGACTATGACTCTGGAGACCAGGGTTCAATTGACAGCTCATGCTCTCACATGCTCTCATACTCAGGAGAAGGGAATGGCAAATCTCCTCTGAATAAGTCTGCTCACCTTAGGGTTGTCATAAGATAGAAATGACTTTGGGTCTCGAGAGACGGCCCCAATAGAACGGCCTCTGGCCACCCCTTTCCTCGCTGGATCAGGGCCACTGCAACCGCACTCTGCATCCCCAATCCGCCAGTTTGCTACTTTAAAAAGAAGCCCCCAAATGCTGCTCCTTTTTAGAACGGCATAAAGCCACCCTTGCCATGGTGGCAGCTTTTCCACGTTTCTTTGGTGCAGTGTGTCTAAACGCTGCACCAAAAAAAAATATGGCGTGATGCCACCCGCCATGCGGGCAGTGTGACGCCGGCGTCAGGGCAGTGTTTGGGTGTGCGGTTGCCACATCCCCACTCCATCCCAAGGCCGGCACAAAGTGCCAGTCTGTATAGCCCCTTAGAAGGCACACAATACCAAAGCTAATACCCCAGAGAACAGCGTCAGAATTCAAAGTGACTTTAACAGATTAGAAAGCTGGGCCAAAAACTTACAAATACATTTCAACAGGGAGAAATGTAAGGTACTGCACTTAGACAGAAAAAAATGAAATGCAAAGATATAAGGTGGGTGACACCTGGCCTGAAGGCAGATCTAGGAGTTTAGTAGACCACAAGGTCAACATGAGTCAATAGTGTGATGGAACAGCTAAAAAAAGCCACTGCGATTCTAGGCTGCATCAATAGTAGTATAGTGTCTAGATTGAGGGAAGTAATAGCACCACCCTATTCTGCTTTGGTGAAGCCTCAACTGGAATACTGTGTCCATTTCTGGGCAACCTCAAACCAAGGAGGATATTGACAAGCTGGCATGTATCCAGAGCAGGGCAACCAAAATGGTAAAAGGTCTGAAACCATGCCCTATGAGGAATGGCTTAGGGAGCTGTGCATGTTTAGCCTGGAGAAGAGGTGATGAGAGGACATATTTAAGTATTTGAAGGGAATTCATATCGAGGATGGAGCAAGCCTGTCTTCTGCTGCTCCAGGGACCAGGACACAGAGCAATGGATGCAAGCTACTGGAAAAGAGCCTCTTAGGAAGAACTTCCTGACAGTAAGAGCTGTTTGACAGTGGAATACACTCCCTCAAAGTGTGGTAGAATCTCCTTCTTTGGAGGTTTTTAAGCAGAGTCTGGATTGTGTCTTCCTGCATGGCAGGAGGTTGGACTGGATGGCCCTTGTGGTCTCCTCCAACTATATAATTCTATGCCTTGTGGAACATACTCCCAGGTAACTAGGTATAGGATTGCGCTCAAAGGCCAGAATTTTGTTGTGGCTTTATACAGACACAAATGCTGTTATGCATCAATAAGGCTACAGCAGCATTTTGTCAAAGGTTAGGCAAGGGTGGGCTCCTACTCAGGATATTTGAAGGAATGTCATATTGAGGAGGAACAAGCTTGTTTTCTGCTGCTCCAGAGAACAGGACACGGAACAACGGATGCAAGCTACAAGAAAAGAGATTCCAGCTCAACATTAGGAGGAACTTCCTGACAGTAAGAGCTGTTCAACAGTGGAACACATTCCCTCGGAGTGTGGTGGAGTCTCTTTCCTTGGAGGTCTTTAAGCAGAGGCTGGATGGCCATCTGTCACAAGGGGTGCTTTGATTGTGAGTTCCTGCATGGCAGGGGGTTGGACTGGATGGCCCTTGTGGTCTCTTCTAACTCTATGATTCTATGATTCCACCAGTGGCTGCACTGCCAAGGTTCTAGAGAAGCAGTCCTTTACAATGGGTGCAAGGATTGGGTTCCTTCTCTTGCAACAATAAAGTACATAGATGTACTACTGATTGCAGAAATGGTTTGCACCATCTGGACCGCAACTCTGATTTAGCAGAGTTAATAATTTTACACTGCAGAACTGATGAACAAGATTGAGTTGTCTTTCCCCCCAGAAGTATGCGTCCAGAGTAACACACACAAAAAAATCAGACCTTTTACCACTAATTTAAAAAGATACTGGATGTATAAAAACTCAATTGAAAGCATGCTACAGAAGCCAACAGAATGTCGTCCGCTGGTCCTCTCTTATTTGCTGATTTCCCATCTTTCCAAAAGGACATTAAAAAGTAGTGAAGAGAGTGTGCCCTGGGATTAGCTCTCCCCATCCCTTTGTACTTCTTGAGAGCAGTGGTTCTCAAACATTCTTCCACATATTTTGGACTTCACTTCACAGAAACCTCTGACAGTGTGACAGATGCTCAGGAATTCTGGGAACTGAAGTCCCAAACATCTGGAGAACCAGAGTTTGAGAAGCACCATCTTAGGTGGAAAAACCAAAGCTTAAAGCCATTAGGAACCTATAATACTGCCTTTGTCAGTCATATTACTGATCTGCCTCTCGGATGCATTTTGTTTTTAAGCTTCCTCTGTGCTATATGATTATAATACTTTGATATCATTTTAACTGCTCTGGCTCCATTCTCCTGAATCCTTGGAATTGTAGTTCTGTGCAGTATTTGAATTCTGTGATAAAGAGCTCCACTGCCTCGGCCAACTAAAGATCCCAGGATTCTGCTGAATTTAGCCATAGTGGTTAAAATGGGATCCCAAGGCTATAATTGTATAGGGTGAAATAAACCTAAGAGGTGCCCCACAATCCTGCCAACTTTTACATTTAAAACAACATTTTTGCCAATGTTCTTTTTGTTTTATTGAATATTACTTCAAACTTTAGTTTACCTATAAAGTTAATTTAGATTTTCCCCCTCTTCTATTTGCTAAATTTTTAACTGTAACCAAGTAAGGTTTGATAAATGGCCTTTCTACTCATTTAGAAATAGAGTAAAACACTCCAGACTTTCTACTTGGTTAGAATTATGACTCAGAGGGTTCTGGAAAGAACTGGATTCCTGGGAAATAGGGACAACCTCTGAATTTAGAGAGGGAGAAACCCAATTAGTGCTTCGAGGATCCCCATTCCAATACTCTGAGTGGATTCTCTGATGAGAAATGAGGTTTCTTTTCTCGCTAAAGCTCTTCCCACAGTCCAGGCACTTATATGGCTTCTCGCCTGTATGTGTCATGTGATGTCGAAGGAGGTGTGCTTTTTTACGGAAGTTTTCCCCGCACTCGGAACACTTGAATGGTTTTTCCCCCGTATGGATTCTTTGATGTGTAACTAGATTTGTACTTGTACAAAAGCTCTTCCCACACTCAGAACAAGTGTATGGTTTCTCCCCTGTATGAATTCTTCTATGTGAGGTGAGGCTTGTGCTGGTACTAAAGCTTTTCCCACATTCTGAACAAGTGTATGGTTTTTCCCCCGTGTGGGTCCTTTGATGGAAAATGAGGCTCGCATTCTGAGCAAAGCTCTGTCCACAATCGACACACGTAAATGGTTTCTCCCCCGTGTGAGTTCTCTGATGTGCCATGAGGGTTGAACTATGACTGAAGCTCCTTCCACATTCCAGGCATCGAAATGGTTTCTCCCCTGTGTGGGTTCTTTGATGCAAAGTAAGGTTTGTATTCTGACTGAAGCTCTTGCCACATTCCAAGCAAGTGTATGGTTTTTCGCCCGTGTGGACTCTTAGATGAGAAGTCAGCTGAGATCTATGACTAAAGCTCTTTCCACATTCCAGGCAAGCATACGGTTTCTCGCCCGTGTGAATTCTTTGGTGGCGAACCAGTGTTGTCTTCTGGCAGAAGCTCTTTCCACACTCCAAGCAAGTATATGGTTTCTCCCCTGTGTGAATGCGCTGGTGTGTGATGAGGGCTGCACTCTGACGGAAACTCTTCCCACACTCCAAGCAGGTGTAAGGTTTCTCCCCCGTGTGAATTCTCTGGTGTCTAATGAGGCCTTTCCTCTGAGAGAAGCTCTTCCCACAGTCTAAACATTTAAAGGGTTTCTCCTCTTTGTGCATTTTCGCATGAGTTTTAAGGCTTGACTTACTGCTGAAACTTTCCCCACACACCAGGCACGCACAGCCTTCTTTCCCTTTAGCTGTGTTTTCCTGGACTGGGATTTCATAGACATCACCAGCCTGAGAAGCAGGCCATCTGGTCTTCCTTTCCTCTTTCTCCTCAGTCTCCTTGCTCTGGTGCTGTTCTTCTATACAAATGGCTCTTTCCAGCAATACTCTGTGTTCTTCCTCTTCATTCTGGCTCTCCCAACCATCATCTGCTCAAATAAAGAGAGTAAACTGGTGAAACCATGACAGAGAAATGGAATCTTAGCCTAGGGAATGAAACCAATTAACTCCCATAGTACATAACAGAATACAACCTCCTAGAAGGAAGGCATATCCTATCATGTTACCTTTTAGTTCATCCACATTTCCTGAATAATTTATACAGTTGTGTTCCTTCAGTTATAAAACTTATACCCAAGAGTCTATGTTGGATATACACTCTTGAATGGGAAACCTCTATAAGCCCAAGCCATCAACAGCCCTGCTCAGGTCTTGTATACTCAGGGCCATGGCATCTATAATGTGGTCTTCCTCTTTTCCTACTGTCTTCCACTTTCCCCAGAATTCTCATCTTTTCTAGTATCCCCTTATGAGGTATGTCAAGCATAGAATCATAGAGTTGGAAGAAAACACAAGGGCCATCCAGTCCAACCCCAACCTGTCATGCAGGAACTCAAAATCAAAGCATCCCCGATAGATGGCCATCC